CCTGCCATTCACTTTATCTATTCCCCTCATGATTTTATAAGCTTCTATAAGGTCACCCCTCAACCTCCTACACTCCAGTGAAGAAAAATCCCAGCCTATCCAGCCTCACCTTATGACTCAAACCCTCCCTTCCTGGCAACACTCTGGTAAATCATTTCTGAACCCTCTCCAGTTTAATAGTATCCTTCCGTAAACAGTGACCAGAATTTGACACAGTATTCCAGAAGAGACCTCATCAACTCCTGTACAACCTCAACACGATGTCCTAACTCGTGTCCTCTGAGGTCTGAGGAATGAAGGCAAGCATACTAAATGCTTTCTTAACCACCTTGTCTACATGTGACGCAAACTTAAAAGAATATGTACTTGAACCCCTAAGTGTCTCCGTTCTAAAGCAGTACCCAGGGCCCTACTTTTAATCTTGAAATGTTACCTATAGAATTACCTATAGACTGTTTTTATAGAACCATTTCTTCACTTCATCTTTGTTCCAAGTATTTTGACTCGCATTCATGCTCAGTCACATATGCTTGAAGTTGTACATCATTGCACAACCTCCTCACGTTCCTCTGCATTGCTTAAAAGTGAGGCACTTTTTAAATATGTTTTTCTTTGTCTGATTTTTGTATCCATCCCCAATGAGTTGATTCCTTCGTGCAGATGACTTTAACTTTTGACCCCAGCTATGCAATTTATCCCATTTGTTGAACCACAACATTTTGTAGATGCGCCATTAGGTAATTGAATTATTTTTTAAAAATACATATGACTCAATGTCTATATGCATAAAAGCAAAGTGGAAGCAGCAAGGTGGAAAGAACAGAAAAAGAAAATTGTTAAGGAAATAAAGGGAACATCTATGAAATAAATATTCTATAATGGCAATAAAAAAAGTAAGTGAAATGAGCAGAAGTCATTATGTGCCACATGTATATCCACAGACACAGTGTGACAAAGCAAAATTACCAAGTACGACATGAAATTGAATGGTTTTACAATTAGAATCCCTACAGCGTGGAAACAGGTCCTTCAGCCCAACAAGTCCACACCGACCCTCAGAGCATCCCACCCAAACCCATCCCCCTATAATCTACACATCCTGAATACTACAGGCAATTTAGCACAGCCAATCCACCTAGCCTGCACGTCTTTGGACTGGAGCACCCAGAGGAAACCCACGCAGACACAGGGAGAATGTGCAAACTCCACACAGACAGTCACCCAAGGGTGGAATTGAACCCAGGCTCTTGATGCTATGAGGCAGCAATGCTAACCACTGAGCCACCGTGCCGCCCAGCACATCTACAGCACAAGGACTGCAGCGGTTCAAGATGCAGATCACCACCACCTTCTCAAGGGGCAACTAGGGATGGGCAAGAAATGCTGGACCAACCAGCGATGCTCCAATTTCATGAATGAATACATTTTTAAAAAATCAATAGATTTCAAACTCGCCTACCACAGGCTAAAGAACTTTCTGGAAAATGTATCTCTCTCCACTGTCAACCAGCTCATTATTTTTAATTCCCCAACTGCCTGGCTGAAACACCAGCCTCTCTCCGTGCAGCCACTCTGCCTGGGCTGCCATAAAGCCTGAGCCAGGGATGTATCAAGGACAGACTGAACCAGCCTGCTGCGGGTGCTCCTACCTGTGAAAGGTTGACTCTGTGGTAAAGAGAAAAAAATCAGGACCAGGTTTATTGCGTACTAATGTTTCAAAAGTATCTATTTGGTTATTCTAAATATCTGCTATATGAAACACCAATATGTATTACAATATGAGTTTACAATATTTTAAGACATTCTCAAGAACTTGAAAAGTTAAATGACAAATGCAGTCAAATGTATTTGCCCCAGAATTGAACAGGTCATAATCCACGCATTTCCACTAAGATTGCGGCCATTGGTGCCTTCCAATACTGACGCAGCTCAGAGTCAATGGGTAAATAAAAACATACCTCAGTTACCTGTGAGTGCGTAAAGCTCAGAAACTCTAGTGCCGTTGCCATCTGGAGGAATGCCTGACTCTCCAATCAGCAACGAAACCTTTGCTTATAATAGATCATTTAAAATTATGCCCCTTCCCTTGAGTGTGCTGACATTCGTATCTTCTAATGAGTCTTTTAAAATAAACAAAATCTAATTTATTGCACTCTGCAATTATTTACAGCTTACAAGAATTACCACAAAGACAAGAGGACATAACGTTAGGTCTGTCTCTCGTAAGATTTTACTTTTCCCTCTCACCAGGGCCTCATTACATTCTGTTCCATATTAATCTTGTTTTTATCCTTCTATATCCAAATACACTATTCTTCAAGGGTGTTTGCATTGTGCCCAGAATCCATAATCACTTTTGTAAGGGAAGTTGAGAAATACTTACATATAAACATAGAACTGGAAACACAGATGATAGGAGCAGGAGGAGGCCCTTTGGCCCTTCAAGCCTGCTCTGCCATTCTTCACGATCATGGCTGACCATCCAATTCAATAGCCTAACCCTGCTTTCTCCCCATAACCTTTGATCCCATTCACCCCAAGTGCTATATCTAGTCGCCTCTTGAATACATTCAATGTTTTGGCATCAACTACTCCCTGTGGTAATGAATTCCACAGGCTCACTACTTCTTGGGTGAAGAAATGTCTCCTTATCTCCGTCCTAAAACGTCTTCCCCGAATCCTCATACTGTGACCCCTGTGAAGGATAAAAAGTAACATTATAGGTGTGGGATGGGGTAGAGAAATGGGATTAAGTCAACAAAACTTTCTAAGAACCAGCAAAGGTGCAAAAGACCAAAAGATCTTCCATGCGGTAAAATTCTTCTGAGCCTTGTCAGCAATCAAGTGTTTCAGTGCTTAATTTGCCATTGTCCAATCTTGTGCACATCTTTTAGAGTCACAGTTCTTGCAGTGGGCACAATATTGAAGCTGATAAAAGAGATCCATGGGTATGCATTTCAGATAACTGTGAAGCTATATAAATATTCAGAAAATGCATGAAGAATACACAACAAACCCAAATATTATTCCCCAAAGGCAAATATTCCCAATAGTGGAATAAATTGAGTTTCCCCACTGATTAGTTTTGTTTGTAAAGCAGTTGAGGGAATCTATTGTACTTAATAACAGTTTTCTGTTTTTTTAAAATTACGCTTTAATGGAACACCACTCACCTCTGCCAGGCCTGTTTTGCCAGCAGCTGGAAATTTGCTCTAAAGGTTGAAATGTTGTCTTTTCTATCTATTCCAGATGCCTCCATTTCCAATTCTGTGACATAGCACTTGATTCTAAATAAATACAAAAGTTTGGAAAATATAAACAGTTGCATAGAAAGAAACATCCACATTTTTTTGCTTCAGTTCCATTCATTGCCCTTAAGCAACTGAATCAGACAAACTTACTGCAACAGTCAAAGACAGAATTGATTAATATTGCAATGGCATGAAACTTTATCCCAAGACGTAGATCATGCTGAACTATTGGAGGAAGATTCATTTCACTTTTTTGTTGATATGCACTGCGTACATGTGGAGGTTCCCTCAGATGCATGTATTTTGAAACTTAAATTATTAGAAACAAAGCTGTTAGACCTTTCGAAGTAGAGACAAACCTTTTTGGATGGATTGTTTGGGTCATGGGTGAGGCCTTAATTTCCTTCTGGTGACGACATCTTCAGGGGCTTGAGCCTCTGGTTCTAATAACCCTTGGATACACCTGTTGCATTGTGACCAAGATTGCAGACCACATGGGAACTGTACCTTTAAGACAGTTATATGACATCATGACCTGTGCCATTCCCTTATGATGTTACTCAGCTCCCCTTCAGTCTCTCTCTCTCCCTTTCTTTCTGTCTCTGTGTGTGACGTGCAACAACATTGATAGGAAAAGAGCATTGACTATGGGCTGAATTTTAGTCAGAGTTAGATGAGTGTCAATTTCAGGGAATTTGCAGGGTTCTCTCCATGAGCTGTGCTGAGTTTTCTCACACAATTCTCTGCCAAGCAACTCATTGCACATGCACCCTACTTCTCAAGTGCTGCCCTCGCTGTATCATGCACTAACTAGTGGCAGTGGTCCTTGCCACCTTCTGGGTTTCTTGCCACCATTGCCATACATAAAGCCCAGCTGTGTGCCAGGCCATTCACTGTGAATTAGGAATAGCCCTCCACAGTACATGTCGTGGGTGATAAAGTAAAAAGGAAAACTTCTAGGGACATATAGGTGGCAAGGGGTGACACTTCAGTGGAAACAGAATCTCTCGATCTGAAATTAATTGTCACTTTACATCATTGTGGGTCTGATGGACTGTTGAATTAACTGAAGCTGCACAGAACACCCATCCTTAGCACCATACAATGTTAAATCCCTGTCTGAAAGAATGCCAGTCTTTCCCTAAATCCCTGGCATATCATAACATCTTGTCTTTGTTCAGTGTGGTAGTATCATATGTTGTGATACCTTCAAACAGTTGAAAACATTCACTTTTATGAAATGGGAAACCTGAAGAAAAGAAGCAAAAAAAAGCTGCTTTTGTTTCTCGGAATAAAGAGGATGCTTGCCTTTTAAGCAACAACAAATTTTCAGTCAATGAGTGGTGACTTCACCCGACTCACATCTATCAGAAGCAGCTGTAAATTAAGTTCTCTCTGATTCGTTATGCCTAATGCTGCATATACTGAAGGTAATACTCCTCCTGCTCTAAGAGTGCCTCCACCACATCCCCTTGTTACCTGCTTCTGTTCTGCAGAATACAGAATGCAAGGAATATGCAGCACATTCTGCTTGGACTGGATTGTTTAGGGCACTGTGATTTGGTTCAGTAAGGTGAATGATAGCCAGTTGCATTGTAATATAGTATGTAATAAAGTATTGTAATATAGTATGACAATTCAAAGGACACTTTACTGTCTGGTAGTGTCTATTAGACTGCATTAGCAGAGAGAGCTGTGTGGAGTTGTGTGCATGAATGTTAAGATGTAAGATTTTTAAACTTCTTGCAGGCTTTGATGCGTCCAGGACGAATTGATCGTATTATATATGTGCCGCTGCCCGACGCAGCCACTCGAGCAGAGATCTTCAGATTGCAGTTTCGTACCATGCCAATCAATGATGATGTCAGCTTGGATTACCTGGTAGCCAAATCACAGAAATATTCTGGAGCTGAGGTAAGCACTGACAAGCTGTCCTGAGTACAGGTACATTTACATAGATACATTGGAGAAACTGGTGCTGTTCTCTTCTAAGAGTAGCTTGAGAGGAGATTTGATAGAAGTGTTCAAAATTATGAGGGGTCAAGACAGAGTAGCAGAAAGAAATTGTTCCCATTGGTAGAAATATTGACAACCAGAGGATATCCGTTAAAGATGATTAGCAAAAGAGTCAGCAGTGATATTAGATCATTTTTTTTATACAGTAAGTGGGATCTAAATGCATGGCCTGTAAGAGTTTGGAGACAGAGTAAACCTGTGGCTTTCAAAATAGAATTTGTTAATAATTGAAGAGAAAAACATTGTGTGGTCTTGGGATAGTGAGACCAGCTATTAATGTTTTTACAAAGAACTGACACAGAAATGACAGGTCAAATGGCCTCCTTCTGTGTGATAACCATTCTATAACTGTATGAACTATAAATGTAAGGGGTTTGCAAATCAAAATTTTTTAAATCAAATACTACCATGTTAAATTGTATGGTAATCTCTTTCCCCTTTTCAGCTCTTAAACACGCTTGGTGAAATAAATTTAGACAATTAAGATCAAATCCCTAGCGAGCACATGTTTACAAAAACAGATGAGTTCACACATACAGAATTGATATCATCATTTTATTGTAAGTCGTTTCACAATTTCACTCTGTGTTGTGATGATGATAGCAAGAAATGGTGAGCTGTCGTGCTAGTGCAACATATTTTGAAGTTGTCATGCTTGGATACTATGAAAAGATAATAGTTGTACATTGTGTCTGACACAGCTTGTAAACTTGGCATCAATATGCCTAGTGGTGTGGCTGTTTTTTATATATATATATATATATGTATATATCTTTACTCCTCTTAATTAGTCTGTTGGTGATTGTCTCCAACCTAAGTCAACACAATTTTCATTGATGCAGTTTGCATCATTATCCTATTTAACCAACCAGTTCATTGAAATATATTGTATGCTAGTCACCTGTTTCTTTTTGCTTTGGGCCTTGTTGGTTGTTGGATCTTTACAAGGTCAACCTTCAGTGTAAACAGTAACCAGTTCCTACACACACATGCATGCACACACACATATACACGTGCACACATGCACACATACAGTACAGTTTGTCTAAATACACTTAGAGCTATAGACACAGTGAGTGTTTAAAACAGTCTCCAAGGGAACTGAAAGGTGAGGGTAGCTTGACATGTTAGCTTGTGTTGCGCAGTTACTTTGTACATCCTTGTCTGGGGCAGATGTTTAGCAAAATCTCAAATACAATTGAACTGAGTTTTAATTAAGTAAATCCAATCTGTATCATTGCTGCTGCAACGTCACAGTACAATAAAATTCTGGAAGATGAGAGCTGTAGTTGTAATCAGCCAGAGTGCGCTCCGATCTATAATCAGAATAGTCTACGGAAATTAATATTTGTTGTCACAGTTTTAAGCGTAGCTGTTAAAAGCAGTATAGAGTGTACAAAATTGCTCAACCTTTTTTTCCAGTGTTTCAGCTGAAAGCTCAGAAATGACATTTAGGCCATGTTAAATATAACATTTCTGGTGTGGAAAGGAAAAAGTACTTTGTTGTAATAAATTTAAAACTATATTGCAAAGGATTGTGGAGACTCATTCAAAAAGAAATTAAACATACTTAAAACTATTTCCAATAAGCTGAAACAAAAACAAATGACTGCAGTTGCTGGAAATTCAAACTAACAAAAGGTATTTTAACTATCATTTAAGTATTCATTTAGCCAGTCAAGCACTATATCTGGAGAGAGAAATAGAGTTAATATTTCAGGTTAATTTCAGTAGAACTCTTCAACATTGTTTCATTTTTTTTGCGGTCTGTGGAATTTTTTTGGTAGTTCTTTGTTCAATATGGGAATGCTGATTGCCGGATTGGAGCAATGCAGGTGATGGAAATTACTAATCCCAAGATTATTATGAATTTAAATTAACCCAATCGGAGATACGTGAGGCCATTCACCAGGTTGCTTCAGTAAATGTACCACTGCATGTAGCAAAATCACAAACTGTTGGAAAAACTCAGCAGGTCTAGCAGCATGACTCTTTGACTCTTTGTCAAAACTGAAAGCAACTGGCAAATGGTGGTATTTATGCTGGGACAAAGGGTGGAGTTGGGAGGAGGGGAAGGAATGATTAGAATACATGGAGACAGTGGTGAGAGGTGGGAAAAAAGAGGAGAGGCAAACAAGGGGATTGTTGATGATAATCCAAGAGGGAAATAAATGCTGAATGGGTGTTAACAAGCAGTATAGATATTTGAAAATGGATTGGTTGTGCTAGGAATAACCCATAAACCCATATAGGTGTGCGGGGGGTGGGTAATGAAAACAGAGCTAGGTGTTCAAGCTCTGAATTTTTTAATTTCAATTAGGGACTCAAGGGACCTAAGTGGACAGCAAGATGTTGGCATTGGAACACAGTGGTGTATTGAAGTGGCAGGCAACTGGAAGCTCGTGGGGGGTGAGTGGATATGTGGAAATGCGGCATCATTAGGCTTGGTATCTCTTTTAAAGCCAGTTTCTTTGGTTTTCAGTTTAACATGAAGCATTCCAAAAAATAATAAAGAATATTAAAGATTAATCACACTTCTTTGTAATTCTGTAAGAGAAATGGAAATATTGATTAAGCAAGTTGTCCATCACAGTAAAGTTTTCAAATATCAATTAGGATGAGAATCCGGCAGGGTTATTTTCATCAAAAGGTAGAAGACTGGTAAAATTGGGGAAGCCAGTAAAGATGACTTGTTTAGATAATTAGATGTCTTTCTGAAGAGAGATGGGATTGAGAGCACTAATTCCATTTTATTGGGTCTAACAGGCATAAAAAAAGTTTTGTTTTAGGAGGATGAGGAGAATGGGAAGCAAGTATTTAATGATATTTCTTCTTCAAAATGCAAGGGTCTACAGCTTCATCACATACAAAAGACAAAAAAAAGTGTATTTAATTTTAACATTATGCCATGTCGTTATTATGGGATGTTTCGGGCATCCATTATATCAGTACTTCAACCCAGAACGTTTATTCCTTTGATGCTTCTTGTTTTTTTATTCCCATTCATTTTCCCTTATGAAATAAAAAAATCTGCATCTCTTCATCCTGTCATACATTAATGTATGATGGTGAACTGTGAAAAAAATCAAAAATATCATGCTCTCAGTCCAGAACATCTTCCTGCTGTTTAAGAATTAGCAATAGAAGCATTGAAGACGTGTTAGAAAAAAAACTTGCAATGGAAGGAAGAAAATAAACTATCTGCATATCTCTTGTATTCTGCCTGTATGTGGAAAATGCTATTTTGAGCGCTTTCTGCTTCTGGAGCTCCGATGTAGATTTGTACAAAGGTGGTGACTCCTAGGTCATCTGAAGATTATGGGTTTGTGCCAATCACGGACGTCAAGGTGATTGGCTTAACATCATAGCAATCTGTTTGATGTGTTCCTGATAGTTTACCTTTATCTGTCTTTGGCAGCAGGACAGGTTTTGCTGAAAGTAGCACACGGTGTTCTTTCTAAGATCAAGTCTTTGTTTATTTCTTTTTTGACATTTCTCTCCTTTTACAAAGTACCTTTGTGTTTTGACCTTCACAACAACTGGTTTTTATGGTTAATAAATTACATTTATTTATACTATAACTTGGCAAATATTGGCTGAATTACATTGCACTTTTATTCAACCAGAAATGCTACACAATAAAAACTGAGATAACAAAGTGTAGAGCTGGATGAACACAGCAGGCCAAGCAGCATCATAGGAGCAGGAAGGCTGATGTTTCGGGCCTAGACCCTTCATCCATTTGGCATCCAGAGTAGGTGTGAAATTTGAGCAACATTTTGAAATTTCACAACAATTTACTGAGTAACTTCTTAATGGGGGTTGGTTGGGAAAGTTGTAACAACAGATATAAAATGGTCAATTTATCTGGTTTCTGCAAGTAAGTATATTTCAGGTGCAGAGATGTTTGCACAGATGCTACACACCAGGAATCTTTTTCTGTGAGACTTTTTGATTTCAGGTCAATTTCAAAAGTTATAAATCAATGACTTTGACAAGGGATTGTTCTGATAAAATCTGAAATTGTTTTAACTCATCGAGAAGGATCACCCAAGCCTTTGCCAAATTTTGTATTTTAAGTTATCTATTTTTCTCATAATTTCTTCCAACTTTGTTTAAATTTTGTTGATTTATATTTGTTTTTATGGGGTGTTGACTTCAGGTAATGCCAAACAGGTGTGAGCACTGCATTTCTGTAGTAGAGACCATAAGTGACTCTTATTCTTGTGGACTTGGAAGGGTAAATTTATTTGTTCTCATCAAGGGTTTGGTATTTATTGAGGCAGGAACTCCAATACTGAAATTTAACTTGAGACTAGTGCTGAGTTTTTCTTTAAGAACATGAAAACATGGAAGCGCACAGCAAATAAATCAACAACCAAAAGAGAAAGCCAAGTTATTGTTTGAGTGAGATTATGGATCAGATTGGATCACTTGATATATTCTCTTACTTAGACATGAGGCTATGGTTTCAAGTCCACTCTACAATTTGATTATGTCATTTAGTGCAGGGCTGAGAAAGTGCAGAATGGTTAAAAAGTCCGCCTCCAGGATGAGATGTTAAATTTGGATCTTGCCTGTTTATGTCAAAGCTACTATTTGAAGAAAAACAGGGCATTCTCCAAACTTCGTGGCCAATATTTTTCTTTCAGTTAACACCACCCAAAACAGACAAATTGGTGTTTGATCTTAATGCTGTTTGCAGGAGCTTGCTGTCTGCAATTTGACGGTAGTATTTATAACAAGAGTGACTGAACTTTCATAATCGGAACAGCATTTATAAGTTGGAGAAATGGCTTTTTTGTGCTTGTACTAATGTTTAATCATATGGATTTTTTGATATCTTATGATATCTTCAAGCGTGATTTATGGCAATCTATGAACTATAACCTAGAAAGAATCGTGTGCAGTTTTATCACAAGAACATTTAACACATGCATCATATTCTTTATGCTGAACCTTAACAGGCTATAGCACTGGAGGTCGTAATTTGGCTCGTCTTGCCTATATCAATTTTTTTTACTGTTCTTGTGCAATTAGTACTGCTTACCTTCTAGTTCCCTGTTTCCGTTCAAGTTGATCCCTTTCAATTTATCTAGTTTCCTTTGAATGTTAGAGTTAAATATGCTTCCACCTTGCTTTCAGGCTATGCAATATGGACCATAAAAGCTCAGTTTTTTATATCACCTATGGTTCTTTTGTCAGTTTTTAAAAATATCTGGCAACTGTCCCTTATGACACTAGAAACAGTTTCCTCTTATTTATTTTTTTCAAAACACTTTATTATTTTAGGCATTCCTATCAGATCGCCCCAAAACTTTCTCTTCTTTACGTAGAATAACCTTGGCTTCCCAGTGTCTCTCAACATAACTGAAGTATTTCATCCCTGGAAAACCTCCCAGCAAAGGCCTTGATGTCCTTCCAAAGGTGCAGTGCCCAGAATTGATTATATTTCTTTAGCTGTGCCTTCACCAGTGTTTTATCAAGGTTCAGCTTAACTTCTGTTCTTCATACTCCATGCCTTCATTTATAAAGTCAAGGATCCCTATGTTTTATGAACAGAATTCTCAAATCGTCTTGTACGTTCAAACACTTAGGCAGATCTGCCCTCAGGGTCCCTGTTCTTACAACTCCTTTTAATTGTATCACCAGTTTATATTGCCTGTTTTCATTCTTCTTACCAAGTTAATCCACTTCACATTTCACTGAATTAAATTTTACCTATCATATTTCTGCCAAGTAAAGATCTGTTTAGTTACTAAAGAACTTTATTGAAGTCATTTTGAAGACCAGCTAAGAAAAGATAAGAATCGTTTTTATTTCGTTCACAAATTTACTAATCTCTTCTTAATTTTCCTTATCCTATTTGAGCTTCTTCCAATTCAGCTTTGGCAACTGTTGTGTCATCTTTCTGAAGTTACAAATTGTGATCAAGAACAAATATTTTTGCCCTGCAATCTATAGTGTTAGTACTGGACCTAGCTTTCTCAATTTCTTTCAAAGCACATTTCTTTATTTTTCATCATTGCTTTTGAGTAATGTTGCTATTTACTTTGCTACATGTTGTAAATTCATTTCCTGCATTTTTATTTCAGGCTGTTTTAAAATCTCTTCAGCTGCTTTTACCTTTTCCTTCTTAGGTTGATTTTCTACAGTTGTTTTTAAACTAGTGAGCTGAGATTCTAACTCTTTGATATATCTTTAATCAGAATATCAATTTCAGCATAGATTCACAAAGAATTGGTTCCTTCTGGCCACACAGTTTTCCCTGTAAATCAGTTTCAGTAACGTCAGTAGGCTTTCCTGAAACCATCAGATATGCTCATACATTATCCCAAAACAAGTCATTTTCTAACAAAATATCCATACCTTCAGTTGGCAAATTTAGAAAAACACAAGCATTAATACGACGAGTGACTAGGTCACAAGTTAAATTAACCCTATAAAAAGGAATAGGTAAATGACTTGTATCAATACCATGTACTGATACCTTTGTATTCAGTGATCGAAGAAAAGTTCACATCATCTTCTGACATCAGTGACTGTGTAATTCCAGTATATGCTAAAGATAACAATTGACTTGTCAGTCTGATTTGAAAATTGTGGGGATACTTTATACTCAAACAGAAAACTTCTGTTATTTCTGGTATCTTGATTCATCTGGCAGTCAACATGGGGGAAACTACCTCCTTTTCATAAACTTTACTCACAGGGACAGTATTTCCTATATACTGCATAACCAATACTGCTGCAGTCTTGTTTTTCCATTTCCAATATTTAGGCTTCAAATGTACATTTTTAAAAGAAGATTATCTTTTCACTCTTCTTGAGCCAAATCTATCCTCCACCCTCTCATTTTTACTAATTTGAAGAGAGTCTCCCTCTTTATTGCGACCATCTTCTTCACTAGAATCTGATTTATTTTGACTAACAAACCTCTGATCTCCAATTTCTCTGTAAGTTTCCAAACTAGACACTATTACTGTGACTTATGAGACTTATGAGCTAATTCATAACTATCTGCCACCATTAAGCATTCTTTATTTTATGAACTTTTTGTTCTTCCAGGTGGGACCCTGTTCCAGGGGAATCACTTCCCTAAGAACCTCAGAGGTTTGTTTTAAATTCATCTATCTATATCACCTATTGATCTTCGTCTGTTTTTCTCTAGCAAAGCCTACAAAAGTCTGCCCGTGATTTCTTGTTAAACGTCACCATTATTTTTCTGTAAATCTCTGATACCACCTCATTGGCATTGAGAACAAATTCTTTAGTCTGTTGTAGTTATCTTAATTGTTCTTCTGAAAGAGATAAAGCTACCTCCAAAGATTTCCCTGTGAAAACATTCTATAAGAGCATAGTCCAATTTTCTTCAGACTACTTAAGTTTTGTAACAACCTTCTAAAATGACAA